CCTGGCGAATGCTCTAGCAATTACTAGATATAGGGTAGTCTGGTATATAAAAGAGGGTGACAACGTGACGGGATGATAATGTGTGTGTAGACAGTGAGTAATTGATCTGCAGTCAGAGAGTATTATTGAGCACGTTCGTTGTTATAGCGTTTGTTTTAGCGCGATCGTTGAAATTAAGTGTATTGTAAAGTTATATTCGAAAAGAATAAACCAGTTTTATTAAGTAAGGACTTGTGTCGCTAAAGTTTCGTCGGAACGAAGTTACGGAAAGTTAATTAACAAACGGAGACGTAACAATATATATATAAAAGCTTTCCAAGAGCCTAACGCCTATTCAGTTAAATGTTATTTAAATAACCACGGATTAGGAGATTGAAAATTTGTAACTATTCAAATTAGCACATTTTGTGACGACTTCTAAATAAATAGTTTAATTTGCTTATGCTCTTAGTGCTCCCTAAAAGTAAAGGAAGAAAATCTCAAAGGGTATGTCTTTCTGGAAGAAATAAAACCAAGATTACTAGCATATCAAATCCCTTCATGATTACAAAAGGTTTGTTTGTAATAATTAAGCACAAAGCAACACAATGGGCTATCTGTGATCTGCCCACCACGGGTATCGAAACCCGGATTTTAGCGTTGTAAGTCGGCAGACATACCACTGTGCCACTGGAGAGCGATTACAAAAGGTCAATCACACTTTATAAGAATGATTTACCTATGTCAATTAAAGTATTAGTATGTCCATGCATTTTCGAGTCTTTGTACCAAATGCAAATACTTAGTACTCGCATATATTTGGTTCATATTGAATTAACGATCTTTTTATTAGTAATGCCGCCATAGATATTTATGGCTAATTTATGATTAATTTAAAGCTTTCAATTTAAGTATTTTTGTGTAAAGAGATTGGTTCAGAAGATTGTTAAAGAATGTAAAGTCAAAGGACAATATTTTGAAGAAGGCAGCCTCTGATGCTCTTCATGAAAGCTCCGAAAACCATGCCCTAGAGCAGTCGCTTCATCTACAAAGTGAAAGCTATGATTAGGATGAAAAACTTTTCGACTCCCGAAAAACCAATGGGATGAAGCTGTGCATATTCCTGGTATCTTTAATAAGATAATAAACAAGAATTTGAAGTTGACGATGACTTAAGCCAAAATTTCACAAGCGGCTGTTTCATGAAATCACAGGAAACTCTTGAACCACATATATACCTACCAAACTCCTCCACGATGGGCAGTATTTCTGTTAATATTACAAGTCTTTCACATACAAAAAGTCATATTTCTTAGTGAAGTATTTATAATAAAATAAAATAAAGTTTTGTCCATGAATATATTGAGTATTTGTTTTGAATAGTCCGTGTGCAAAGTAATTTTCATGTTAAATTTAATAATAATTTTCTCAAAAATTCAAATTTTCTTTGTGTAATCCCTAAAACCTCCTAAATGCATTTCAAACTTTTTTGACTAAATCCCTGTAGTTTTTATGTCATTTTCTTTACCCTATCTCAAAACGAGATCAGTTAATTCGACCGACCTCGTAACCACCGAAAAAAAATCAAATAAACCTCAATTAACCTTCTTTTCTTTCTAGAATGACTTCAAATTGTAACCCGAAATTACATTCGTTTATCCCAAGTAGCTCTTAGTTCGTAACACTATACATCTATTTATAATTAAATTTTATTGTTTTATTGCCCTTTGAACCTGTCTAACTGCTATCCCCACCATTATAAGTTGTAAATCACTCGGGGAACATGCAGCTCACGTTACGCTATCGAATTACATTACCCACTAGCTGCTGAGTGCGTGCCTCGTGAACAGTTTTAATTATATTATTATTATTATTATTATTACTTATTTTACCAAATCTAATCTTAAATAACTTAAAACGATCCGCACTTTTAATTTTAGTTACTTTATAATAATAAATAAATAATAAATATGAAAAACAAGAAATAAAGTACTTACCCATTCTTCTTTTTTCTTGCCCTCGATTGTTGAAGAGTTAAACTTGATTTTTGTTAGTGATTATGGTAAAGCACTTAACAATTTTTATCTAATTAAGTAATACACCAAAGAATATAGACTAATAAGATGCAAAAAGTAGACAAATTCACTTACTTCTAAAAATGTTCCTGGCTTTCTAACTATGGACAAAAGCCATTACAAATTCATCCAAGCTAGTCTTAACGTTCCCAGTAGCTACTCCAGTGAAATTGACTTTTATCTGTTCAGAACACAACATTATACAATAAGCCATTTGATGGATGAAAGCCTTGACTTTCTA